GCAGCGGGTGGACCGTAAAGTGCCACGGTTCAAGGTGCGAGGGCAGGGGTGGGAGCTGGCCCCCACCTCGCTCAGGACATCCAGATGAGCCCTCCACTACGGGGTACACTGCAGCACAGCATCTGAAAAGAGAGAGCAGGAGGACAGAGATCAGCCCAGGATCGCCATCCTTGTCTGGGCTTTTGGCCACAAAGGACCTGCCAGAACATGGGCAGCTCCCTGTACGGCCCCACTCGGAACTCCCTCTCCGGAGACGGGAAGAGGAACCAGGCTGGTGTGGCGCTCTGGGGAACCCTGCAGCGTCACCCACCTGCAGGATCAGCATTTCCTTCCTGGTCTGGGCATGGAGAGGAGTTTCCAGCCAGGCTGGAGGCTACTGGGGGCAAGTCTGGACAAGTGGGGAGAAGGGGGCCTGTCCTCTGCCAGGGACTTGATGTGCTTGCGCTGTTCTGGAGCACAGGAGTCAGGCAGGTCAGACCAGTCCCAGGGGCTCAGGCCTGTAATCACCCCTTTGGGCAACAGCAACAAGATCTCCCAGTGCTCTCCAAGAAGATTTGCCCCAGCCACATGCGCTGAGTGAGGCAAGGCTGGTGCCCTACGCTGCCAGCCCCATGGCAGTGACATAAACCTGGCTGGACAGCCTGGGGAAACCTGACGTAACGTCACAGCTCAGCTGGCTTGGACCAGAGACCTCTTCCACCTCCTCAATCAGCAGCTGGGTGGTACCAGAGGCTGCAGAGCCCACCGTGGGCTTCTGCACCACCCACCCACCACTGCCTGCCCCAGGGACCTGACCTCTGTGCTGCATGGCACCTCATTTTTGATTTTCAGCCCAGTTTCAGAGCTGTGAGAATCCTGGCCATAAGTTTTTCCTGGCATGATAAATACTGATATGGCTGCAAGAGCTGAGGAGATGCAGGAAAAGTCACCAGCAGGCTGAGGAGCTCCAGAGCCTTACAAACTGCCTGTGTCTGGCAGCTCTGCCCTTTGCCTGTCCCCACAGCTCTGCCTGCTCTTGCGGAGCAAAGGCTTAGGGGCAGGCGTGCAATAGGGGAATTGGTTCTCCAAGTGGGTCAAGGGTATCTGGAGAGCGAGGCTGCACATGTTATTTTGACACCTAGCATGATGGGGATGGGAAAGTGGCAGGCCAGGGTAGTTGAGCCCCAAGATTTTGTTTAAAAGGAGTGATGAAAGGTATAACCATGCACCCCCACATGGTGGGGGTTGAGCAGCTGGAAAGCAGCTTTGCAGAAAAGACACTGGGATCCGGGTGGACACCCAAGTTGAACATGAGCCAGCAATGTGCCCATGCCACAGAGAAGGCCAACGGTATCCTGGGCTGCATTAGGCACAGTATTGCCAGCAGGCTGAGGTGATCCTTCCCCTCTGCTCAGCACTGGTGAGGCCATGCCTGAAAGAGTACAGCAACGGGCCACTAAGATAACTAAGGGACTGGAGCATGTCTCCTATGAGGAAAGGTGGGGAGAGCTGGGACTGTTCAGCCTGGAGAAGAGAAGGCTCAAGGGGATCTTATCAATGTATATAAATACCTGAGGGGAGGGTGCAAAGAAGATGGAGCCAGGCTCTTTCCCAGTGGTGTCCAATGACAGGACAAGAGGCAATGGGCAAAAACTGGAACACAGGAGGTTCTGTCTGAACATCAGGAAACACTTCTACTGTGACGGTGACCGAGCACTGGAACAGGTTCCCTAGAGAGGTTGTGAAGTCTCCATCCTTGGAGATACTAAAAAGCTGTCTGGACACAGTCCTGGGCAATGGCTCTAGGTAGCCCTTCTGGAGCAGAGGGGTTGGACCAGATGACCTCCAGAGGTCACTGCCAACCTCAAGCCCTCTGTGTAAGCCACCACGCTGCAACCCATCCAGGCTGCCCTCCACACTCACCCCTCTGCAGCAGAACCCCGCTTTGCTCCGGATTAACTTCCCTGTCCCGCAGCGGGCGGTCGTTGGCACAGCTAGCGGAAGACACCTGCCAGCCAGGCACCCCCCAGAAGCGGCGTGGCTGCCGTGGAATGGCTCCCACCATCACGGTGTGCCTCCGAACCCCTGCACCGTCCTCTCCAGCTCTTCAGTCTGCACAGCAGTTCTGAGGGACAGGAAAAGGCAAGATGCAGGGTTGGAGTGATTCAGATGCTTTCCAGAAGAAGGACATTAGGGTACCGGCTGCCTGCAGGGTCACACAGGCAGAGAAAGCAGCATCAAGGCTCAGCCCCTCCCAACCTCCCAAACATCACATACATCTCGGCCACCTCAGGCAGTGCTATCACCTTGATTTCCATTTAAACCACAAATACTTTAAGCTAAGCTGTGAAATCTCATACCTGGCTTGTATTTTACATCCCTTTTGCATGTCCTCCTATATGAAAACCTGTGCATATGAGCAGATCCCCAATTCTTTCTGGTGACCATTTCATGTCTTGCTTTCCAAGACACTGCAGATCACCATCAGCCTCTGGGGCTCCAGCTAGCTGCTGGTCTCAGTCTCATGTCCACCTCCTGCCCCTTTAACCCACAGCAGAGGACGCTTTCTGGCCCTACAGATAAGGAGAAGGGCTTGCAATTGTTTTCTTGCAATAAGAGATGCCTGGCAGGGAAGGCAGAAACCAGGAGCCTGACAGCTCTGAGCCACGATGGCCCTGCACCAGCTTCCCCCAGTGCAAAGACAGCAGTCCTTTCATGTGCTCAGCACTCACCTGCTCAGATGTGCCCTTGATGCATGACGGAGATTTCCAGATGCAACACGGCTCCCTGCAGTCATAATCCACTGGCACTGCAGCTTTGATGCCTGGAAGAGGGTAAGGAGGAGAGTCAGGCTGGGCAGTGGGTTGTGGTACGACACCTTCAAAGTGGGCAGGAGCCCTCGGGCACCTCCACTTTCGCCCCTCTGTGGCAGGGCAGCCCATAAGCTTTGCTGGCCCACGAACCTCTGAGTGAAGGAGGAAAAGCTGCCCATCCCTGGGGACCATGCCCTCCCCGCCTCCCTCCCCATGCAGCCCTCAAATGGGGGCTCACTACAGTGGCTGTCCTGAGGGAAGCTGCCCTCTGTCCCACTGTGTATCCTGCCCATGAGCACTGTTCTGAATCTGGAAAGAGCAGGGCCAGGCAGATGGACAAAATCCCTGAAGGGATGCTCAGAGGCCCCAAACACACAAGCGCACCCCCTTTCTGGCACACTGGTCCAGCAAGTTCTGCATCCCATCATCTTGCATGTGGGAGGTCAGCTTTGGCAGGTCACTTGCTGTGCTTGCCTGCCCCAGGAAATGGGTTGTTCTTTCATTACGTTTCCAATAAGATTTGTAATTAACAGGCAGTCATGGCCAGTCCCCGAGAGCTGGCCAGCCCAAAAGCCACCACCAGCAGTGCTGGGGAAGAGCACCACCAGCGAGCAGCCAGAACAAAGACACAATACACCAGCTCCCAATGAGCACTTGCAGCAGGGCAAATCAATGCCATAGCGTAACAAACCTCTGATCCAAACCCTCAGCAAAAGCTTTTTGTAAAGATCATCTCCTGGCACCCCTCATGGGGCCGGCACCAAGGCAGGTAGAAAAGCAAGTGAATGCCTGCAGCTGCAGGTGGATGCCAAGGTGGTAACACACGGTGCTCTGCCTGCCTGGAATGTTGCTGCTTCCCTACTCCATCCCTGGGGGAGATTGTACCACGACTTGCGTGGCACAGTCAACCGCTGGGAAGCAAAATCAGCAACTGGCAGCAAGAGTCAGCACGGTGCGGCAGGAGAAAGCCACATCCTTCCTGTGCGTGTCCATGCCGGGACAAAGACATAGTTTTGGCTGCATACTTTCTTTCTTCCCACATCCCTCTCCAGTCACAGCCCTTTGCTGCCCAGCAGCAGCTGCCTTTTGGGGCAATGGGTGCATCAGGAGAGGCTGACATCACAAATCCATCCCAGCCAAGACCGCAGCGTCAGTCACCAGGTGATGCCTGCACTAGCCAGTAGCGCACACACCTAGCACAAGGGGCTACACCATGTTTGGCCAGCTCAGATACTGTTCCCTGAAGCATTACAGCGGGAAATGCCAGGATTCCTCAGCCTGCCACAAAAGTTTCTCCAAGCACACCTTGGGACCTCCTTGAACATCCTCCAGGAGGGCTGCCTGGCAGCCTGGGATGGGAAGCAGCTGGAGCACAGCACTGCTCCGCACCCTCCTGCAAGGCACTGTGGCCAAGGGAGGTTCCTGTCCCCTTTCCCCTATTCTTTGGGGTTTCTCTTGGCCATGTTTAGCTCTGCCTCCCAGGGCAGCTTCTCCCTGCTGAGGGCCCAGCCAGCTCACAGCAGGGCTCAGCCTCTTACAGCACCCGTCGGGACCCCATCGCACCCATAGAGAGCCAGGGAGCAATGCAGGGACCAGGCACTCCTGCACCCTAAACAGGGACGGGGAGACAGCACCCGGTCACCTCTCTCTTCTCCTTCCCTTGAGCCAGGCATCTCCAGAGCCTTACTTCTGGCCATCCAGGTGGGACAAGTCCAGGTCCTCACCAGCTCAGCTGAGCAGCACAGGTACCAGCACTTGGATGCAGCACATGGGGCTCCATGTGCCCAAGCCAAGAGTTTGTCCCCTCCTAAGCCCAAGTGATGGTGATTTTGCTGGTGTTTCAGCCTGTGCTGGTGCTCTGATTCTAAGACAGGACTTAAGACCTGTGGGGGTAAGCCCAGCCAGAGCTCCTCCTGCTCTCTGCCCTGCTCCTGCCAAGCTCCTAAGATCCCTTGATGCTCAGAGGACAGGAGGGAGCCTGTGCTTTTGCCAGGATCTCCCAGCACCTGGGTCCAGAGCTATACCAGGCACAGCTTTCCTCTCTTCTTCCAGCCTGGAGAGGCCTGGCGAAGGGCACTATGCTTCAACAGCCATAAAACACCCGGTGCCAAAGGACCTGCAGGGAGGGAGTGTCTCCCAGGCACTGGGGCAGAGACACTGCA